TAGAAACAAGAAAGACTTCCCTCCCTTTGCAACGGTCTAAATTTTAAGTCCATAACCTCCTTTATAAGCTGCAAAATTCAAAAGTCCATCCCCTGCTCTTCTCCCCCAAACTTTCCAAGATTTAAAATTCCATCCCCTGCTCTTCTCCCCCAAACTTTCCAAGATTTAAAATTCCATCCCCTGCTCTTCTCCCCCAAACTTTCCAAGATTTAAAATTCCATCCCCTGCTCTTCTCCCCCAAACTTTCCAAGATTTAAAATTCCATCCCCTGCTCTTCTCCCCCAAACTTTCCAAGATTTAAAATTCCATCCCCTGCTCTTCTCCCCCAAACTTTCCAAGATTTAAAATTCCATCCCCTGCTCTTCTCCCCCAAACTTTCCAAGATTTAAAATTCCATCCCCTGCTCTTCTCCCCCAAACTTTCCAAGATTTAAAATTCCATCCCCTGCTCTTCTCCCCCAAACTTTCCAAGATTTAAAATTCCATCCCCTGCTCTTCTCCCCCAAACTTTCCAAGATTTAAAATTCCATCCCCTGCTCTTCTCCCCCAAACTTTCCAAGATTTAAAATCATCAAACACATTCAAAAGTACATCCCCTCCAATGTTTCCAAGAACTTAAAATCATCAAACACATTCAAAAGTCAATCTCTCCATTCTTTCCAAGAACTTAAAATCATCAAATATTTCCTCCAAGATTTTAAATACTCCAAGAAGGTTCGATTTCAAGATGGCTGCAAATGATATTATGAAACTACCAAGTGATATTATTTCCAAAATTCTTGTTCGACTTGAGAGTTTGGAATTGCTTGTTCGTTGTAAGCTTGTCTGTAGAGAATGGCGAGAAGTATTAAGAAGTCGTGAGTTCATATTAACGCACTATGCGGAATCGTCGTCGAAACCATTTTCCTTCCTCGTCCACCATCTCGACACATTGACGGGAGAACACACCATCACAATTCACAACCATGCGATGGACAATCTTGATTACACTGCGCCTAATGTGTTTCCCGAGACGGCGGTGGTCGGCATCGTTAAAGGGGTTGTTTGTCTTTGCTCACTGCAGCTTGGGAATCAAGTTATGCTTTGGAATCCATTCTTGACACAATTTCTTGAAATTCCCCACCCAGTAGAGAATGAACCAATTGAGGAGGATCGATGTGTCTCAATTGGTGTGGGGTGTGAAGGCATTACTGTGTTTGTGATAAGAATTTCCCATTCAAGTGTTTCCACTCCTTTAAGGGTGCAGGTTTTCAATACTAATTCTTTTGTGTGGGAAGTAATTGAGAACGACATATCGATTTGTGGTTTTATATCGCCATATTGTGACACGGTGGTTAAAGGTTGCCCTTGTTGGGTTATCATGGGAGAAGATAGAAAAATAACTCAGTTTCATTTATGTAGTAGAAGCATGATACTCTTGACTTTTCCCGATATCGGTCCATCTAACTACTTAATGTTTGAGTTGAGAGACAAACTCTCTATATTGAGTTGGAATACCGGTGAGTTAGAGCTGACAATTTGGCAATATAATGATATCAAACTAGGATGGACACATTTTACAAAATTCAAAGTACCACGTGGGCTCCATCGCATAATTGATATTGTTGGGGAGAAAGAGATTGTTGGAGAGGCAATTGTATATTGTTTAAACTCGGCGATGATGATCCCGACAATGACAATGTATTGAATGGACTATTCATTGTTGATGGGTATGTCAAAAGATGCCTCAAGTTTTGGAGTAGTATGGTTCCTATTGGTGTTGAGGTAATTTTTGATATTCCAACTTCTATTTACTTTGAGTTTTGCCAATTTTTTTTTAATATTTTATTATTGTGTTTTGCCAATTTTTTAATATTTTATTATTGGTTTTGTGTAGGGGGAAGATATAGATGAGGGAAATTTTGGTGTACTAAAATCAATGATTTTGCCGGGCTTGGTAATTGCCGCAGGAGTTGGGATTAGTTTGTTTGCCTTAAAGAGATTGAGAGGTTGATGGTTATTCCATGTAGATAACTGCAATAGTATTTTCAGGCTTTTCTTTTATGAGGTGGTTTCAGCCTGAGTTTGGCTTTCTACATTCAGTCAAATGTCTTTAGTAAGGTGTTCGAAGGCTTGATTGATTGCGAACCAAGTTTTTTCTTTAATGATCTTTTGATGACATCTTTTTGTTATGCTATTAGCAGTGACCGTAGACCTTTGGATTACTGATTTTACAGAATTTTTGGTGTTTTTGACTGACTGAGTTATTAGTTACGTACTTAGGTCTTAGTTCCTCTTTTTAAGCTGAACCTGTTGGATTTTGAGCATGTGGAAACTCACAAACTGGATCAGTAATATCATGTTCCATAAAATGTCGCTGCAAACCATGAACCTATTGATGGCTTTTATAAATTGCCGAGATAGTTGGCGCACAAACTTGAATCAGCTTAGAGATTTAAATAAAGTGATTTGAAGCATTTTATACCAAGTCTACTGATATCAGTCTCTGCAGAAATTCAAATAGGTACTCCCATGTTCCTTAAATTCTGCAAATTGTTCAGCTTTCTTTCCCAGGATTGCCTCCCAAACAACTGGCACGGGGGGCCTTTCTTGTCCAAGTTTCCCTAACAGCTTTCTCGTCGAGGACAAGTCCCTTCTGACTCACTGTTTTTAATCATGTTATGAGCCTCTTCCAGACTCTTTTCCTTGCAGAAACCGTCTACTAAACCTACAAAGATTGCCCAGAAACCGTCTACTGAAGAATCAGCTTATTTCCCTTACCTTTTCTTTCTCTTGTATCTATGCTAAAAGCTAAAAAAAGCAAAATCAATAGCAGATCCTGCTTCAAAGATCAGATAGACCTACGAACCCAGGACCAAGTTGAATGTAACTGCTTCTTTACTTCAGCAAAAGCTCATTTATGGACTCCAAGGTATAGAGCCTCTTCCCAATAGTAGTAATGGAGAAAAGGTTAACCTCATAGGTTTTTAGCTGCAGCAAAGTGGACAATTTTCTCTCGGATCCCCTGAAAGAAGTCAGGTTTGGTTCTTTAAGCTTCGCCCTACCTATACAAGGTGTTGCTCACTTTCACCAATGGCTTATGTAGTGGATAACATTCCTAGGTGCCAAGTACTTTCACGTTCACTCTCACCTTAGGATGTTGTTGTGACGATTTGGTCACAAAGGTTGTTGTTCCCGGTTCAGCAGTACTTCAATTTATTTCCATCAAACCTTCGTGATAGTACGCATAACTATACAGTCTAGTTGGAGGGAGAGGTGCATCAACAAGACTCCTGATTAATTATCATATTAACTGCAAAGACCAATCAACACATCAGTCCATTTAAGCTGAACTCATGATGAGAAAGCTATGACAAATATTATAACATCCTACTTAAATCACTTGGAAAGAAACCCTTAAGCACAATTATTCTTCCGGGGAGAAAAACTAGTGGAAAGGGGACGGAGAACATAATGAATAGTGGTAATAAGCCCATACGTATATTTGAATGCATTTGTTATTGTGATAATTGAATTTAGAATCATTCAGATCTTGGAACAAAATAATTAGCCTACAAGCTTTCACATTCTAAAATATTCAGTAACGCAACATATTTCCTTCACAAATCGAGATCAATGCCAAATGACCACTTAGCTGACAGCCAATGACTTCTAAGCTAGCATAAAAAACTAATTCAGTAAGAACTAAGAACCCAGTTCCAATCTCTGAGAGGTGTAGCACACAATGGACAGGAAACATTAAAATTTAGTAGACACTATTAGAACGACGAAAGGGGTATTCATCCCAGTTTCCAGGTACTCTTTCTTTAACACACACACACACACACACCCAGGAGGAGCAGATAGACCATCTCTGCACGCTTGTAGAACTGAGATTTTATAACAACGAAGTGATGGACCATAATTTACACATTTCGTCCATCTTTTGTTAAATTCTAGCATTTATCAAGTGAATTACATTGATTAGTCATTGGAGTTATAATGACCACAAAAGAAAGCTTTTCTTCTGATCCAGGCTAGTATTTCTGATAAGTAGGATGTAGGGTAATTATCTGAACTTTTATCATGTTGTCTTTTTTCCTTGGAGTTGGACCCAATACAAAGCATTTACTTGGATGTAAGCAGTGATATTGTTACCAAACCAAAGAAACTTAGGGCACTTGAGTGACTCGACACATAGAAAACACATTTTGTCATTAGACATATACATGCTTCGAGCGAAGGTTTTTATACCAACATTATCAAGACGAAAAACTTCCATTCTGACACCAAATTGATCCTTTTTAACAGCAGATATCTTGCATGACACTTTTGTTTATATAGCAACATGAGATCAACATGCATGTCATGTACTGATGTACCTTTCTTTTGAGTCATTTGTCGTGCTTAAGATAATCTTTGAATGCTTTATTATCCATTGTACTTTATTATTATTTGGTGAAATATTTGCAAGCTGAAGCGAAAAGGCAGAGAAGGATAGTCTGCAAAAGGTAAATTGGGAAAGCGGAAATTACCAATTGTTGGATGGATATTCAGATGAACTTTCTGGTGAAATAGTTGAAAGAGGTTTACGTCATGATCCATCTATTAGTCGTTTCACTCTCAAACAACACGACTTATACCCACAAGTTTTAAAAACTATCACAAATATCCAACAGTGCCATTATCAATAATATTCATTATATTATCGCAAATTATAGTCCTAGACATAAATAAATTTGATACAAAATTATTATTTTTATAATGAACTAATGATACACTATCAGGGTGACCGAGAAAACGAAACAACATTATTATAAAATAATAAATTGTGAGCTCTTTTATAAAATACAAAATTTTGGGGCAATTTTAAAAAAAATGTAATAGTGGTATTTTGGCCCAAATTTTGGGATTTAGGATTTTACCAAAATATAGGTAAAATCTATGGCCAAACATGTGTTTGTCAAATAAAATCCAAATTTATTTTGACAAAATCTATAGCCAAGCTCCTTATCTTCTCAATCTTCTGCTTAGTCCCTCTTCTTTTCCTGCGTCTTTTTAATGAATTTCTCTTGTGATATTTCAGGTCTTTCGCATGGAAACATACAAATAGTAAGAAATAGTAATCTGTTTGTTCCTTTGCATTTTTCTCTGATTTTTTCAACCATGCAGAACAAGTTCTCATGAAAATTATTTTATGGAGTTCTTTTGCATTCTCTCCTCTGTAATTTCAAACATGCACCACAAAATTCTTGTTTCTCTCTAAAATTTTATCTGATTTTGGTTTTATTTCTGGATTTCTCTTATGATTTTTTAGTTTCTTCAATGCTCAAAAGCAGGGAAATGAATAAATATTTTGAGAAGATACTTTTGTGGTTGTTCTTTTCATCATGCAGATATTGACGCCCTCTTTGCTTTTTCCTATGCTTTTTTTCAAAATGCATTACCATTTTTCTGAAGTCCTCATTGTATTAGCTACTAGGAATTATCCTTTTTATAGTTTCTGATGTGGGTTTCACTATCTCTGCATTATTGACTTCTTTTAAAGTCAGAACTTATGTTGGAACGATAGTCGATTTCCTGCAATTTTCTAACAGAATTTTAGTTTGGCGTTTGGAATATGGATCATAAGTTGTTGGTTAGTTGACTATTTTTTGGAGAATGGCATTGAAAGTGCTGTTTTAGAAAATAATAAGGGGATATCACTGATGCCCATAAGGTGTTTGATAAAATGCCTTGTAGGAAAATCGTGTCTAGGAGATGGATCTAACAGTAGCTGGTGATACACCTTATTGTTCAAAGTTGTAGGTTCATTTGTTTGAAATGGTAATCATATCCTCTCAAATATTACTGAGCCGACTTCTTTATGTTCTCTTTTCATGTTGTGCATTATATGGACATTATGAGCAAGTGGTGTCCCCATTAACTGAGAGCTATAGATATCTGCTAGATATTCAGAAGAATGGCTACCAGTGAGGACAAAAGAAAGGTAACTTCTCGAAGTAATGTCATCTGGTATATTTGGCTCAATTTATACTTTCATTGTTTATCTGTAGGATGAGTGCTTTGGAATAATGTAGCTCATCCAGCTGAGAGTGATGTATATTTGCTTAGGTTGCTAAGGTGCACTTTTTCCAGTCTTTCTTCTTCGTTTCATTCTGTTGCATTTTTTCCTTTGAATATTTGGTTCTTTTATGTTCTTCGTTATTGGTCCTTAGCGATCAATTTTTCACTATTGCTTAGTTTATGGTTATCATCCTTTTTGATTAATACTTTTGCGGCTTCCTGAGAATTCATAGATACAAAATGACCAAAATGAAAGCATAAATAGCAGCTGTGCAAGTTCCTTAATAGATAGACCTTAAGAAGTCTCCAACAACTTATTATAATTAGTGGAGAAGTTCCTCCACATGTTTAAATTATTGCACATCTTTTGCTCCTATAACTAAGCAGGTCAAGAAAAGCCATGTCTAATATACACTAACAAAGAGTCTAATTCTTAATTTTCTATTAGATAGAAAAGCCACGAGTTTCGACGTGTGTGTTTAGTGGAATTTAAATTCCTAATGAGGGTGTTTTGGCCTTTTCATTGTAGGTACTTATACGTGTCTTTTGTCTCACCACTGAACAGCCACGTAGCCTACCAGTCTGTCATTTTTCTAAATCGCTCTGTCTCTATAGGAAGGTAGAGAGAAAACCGCCGGCTGTCATCTCCGCATATCCAATCTCCTTT